TTTCTTGGAGGCACTATGTCTTTGCCTAAGTGCGCAGACCCAGAGCAGATAAGCATGTGATCCAAAAGTAGATGTCTTCACTTACTAGCTCTATAACTTTGGGGAAGTCACTTAACTTTTTTGAGACTGTTTCCTTAACTGTAAAATTCCTTACCTATATCAGGTTTCTATAAAGATTAAATTAGATCTTGCATGTAAATTATAATGTAATTATTGACCTACAAATAATTAGTCCTTATCATATTATGCTTGGTTCCATGAGGGAAATTGTAACTACCTTTGGGGGAAAAGACAGGCTTATCCCTAAGGTGCTTAAGTAGTATACTCACTGTACATTTGGTAGTTTAAAAAAAAAAAAAAATTTAACAAATACTTTCACTCATTCATCCTTGAATGAGAGAGAGAGCCCTCAGGAAAACATCATTCATGAAGCCCACACCTACTTCTTTCTCTTTTTAGACCAAGCAGACTAATAGTATCTGGGCTTCCTGACAGCTTGGGAACAAAGCATGTAAACTCGCCTACTGTCAGCCTCCACACCAACATGAGATGGATATGGGCTGCCTGGGGTGTGCAGTTGGTGAAGGAAATGCTATACTTGACTATGAGAGAGCGCCATGTTCAAATATTCATGTAGTACTCATGATTTGTGTTCAAGCCTCCTTCCATGGGAAGAACCAGCGGTAGACCTGAAGAGCTCTGCCTTCAGACAGATGATTCACTCAGAACAGGTTGCTGGTGACTGAACCTCAGTGACAGGGTCATCCTTTGTCACCCAGCTCTCCAAGGGCACCTTGCTCACGAAGGCTAAGCTCAGAGTGAAAGTGCCTTTTGGAGTGCTAGCTTCTTTCTACCAACAATGATAGATTTCCATCTGTGCTGCCAAACGGGTAGGTTCTTTCCTCAAGGAGCACTTATAAAAGACGACTTCCAGGCTGGGTGCAGTGACTCACGCCCATAATCCCAGCACTTTGGGAGGCCAAGGTGGGTGGATCACCTGAGGTCTAGAGTTCGCAACCAGCCTGGCCAACATGATGAAACCCCGTCTCTACTAAAAAAAATACAAAAATTAGCTGGGTGTGGTGGTGCACACCTGTAATCCCAGCTACTTGGGAGGCTGAGGCAGGAGAATCACTTGAACCTGGGAGGCAGAGATTGCAGTGACCTGAGACCGCACCATCACACTCCAGCCTGGGGAAGAAGAGCGAAACTCCATCTCAAACAAACAAACAAAAAGACTTCCTTTTGCCAGAAAACTAAGGCCCCCCGCAAAGCAAAATTATTTCCCTTTGGCTGTTCAGGAACAATTGCTCATCCCCTTTTGATTTTTTGACTTTTAACTCCTCCTCAAGGAAGTTAAAGGATGTTTTTTGCTGTTGGTAGGTTGCGCTTTTCTAGAGGGAAATAGTTCTAATATTGAGATCTAAACTGAGAATTGCTGATTATCCATGGAACAAGCATTTTATAAACAAGACTAGACCCTAGCTCCCACAGAGGACATGGTTGATAGCTTAGTACCAAAGCACAAGCATTATCTTCTGAGTGGGAAAGCAGATATGGAGCTTCCTTGCCCACCTGACACCTGAGCCAACATGTGCAGAATTGGAGCCTTCCAAAACTTGGGCCTTTTCCAAGGTTCTCCAAGTCAAGGAAGGGCATCATTGTGTCAGCTTGGGTCCTCCTAGAGCAGACACCAACGTGGAATTAAACCTGGAAGAGTTTATTGGGGAAAATGCGTATGAAGAATAAAGAGGAGCAGAAGCAAGAGTAAACATTACACCATAATGCAGGTCTGACCCCTGTGAAAGAGGAGAGGGCAGGTGGGAGGAGTAGATAGGAAGAGCCTCAGACTGCAGAACCACTCTGAGAAAGTGCTGGCCAGGCTGACAGGAAGCCCCAGAGTACAGGTGGCCTATTAGAGGAGTTTCGCCTCTGGCATTCTCTCTTACAGCGTCAAATGCATCCTGTAGCATTTAGGATGGCATTCTATATTTGACCAATTATTTGATTGTTTTATTACCTCACTCAAGAGTGTTTCCCGAGGGCAGAGACCACATTTATTTTTGCTCGTCACTGAATCCCCAGCATTAGCAGGGTGGCTGCATTTTGAGGCTGCCACAGAATATTTGTTGAATGAAGTATCTAAAAGGGTTATTTTTTTCATTTTTATCTGAATCACACATCAGGTATTTTTTTTCCTAACCAGTGACTCCTAAGTTATATGCTGCTTGCACCATGCTTTCATTCCATTTATATCATTCTTCAGCTGTGTTGTGTGATCGTCAGCTGTGCCCCGCCCCCCAACCCTCCATTGCCCGCTTCTCTAGTAAAGTCTTTTGGGACTGGCCTTGGACTTGGACTTTTGCTTCTTTTGTGTCTTCATTGACTATCAGTGCAGGCCTGGATAAAGTGCTTGTTGCAGAACTTGCTACTGCACAAACTTTTGTTCCAGGGTTAGATCAGGAAGGGTAGTAAGGAAAACAGAGCTGTCTCCAAAAGGTGGGATAGAACGCTGTCCTTTAGAAGTTAAATTATAAATCAAGCCAATCAGAGCAAAGACACAAAATGTCCCCATAAAGAAAAATAAGGGCTGCAAGACCTTACTGGGTAACATTACTCAGTAATGCCTTGCTCTATCTAAAAATGTATCCATCTGAGGAGGGGTGGCCTGGGTACCCTGATAAAGAGAGCCTCATCGAAACAAACAGATGGTGTCCACCAGGCCCCATCTAGGGAAAACAGCAGGCCAGGCCAGCAGGGATGAGTGAACAGTCCTCCCTACAGGTTTTGACCTGTGTTGTGGAAAACGACATCCCACATTGCCCAAGCCTGATATCGTTAACCATTTAAGTCAGACAATTCACTCTTCTGATTCTGATTTTAGGCTCACTAAGCCACCTACTGACTACTGGGCTCCAAACTGCATGGCTACAAGAAGAGAATATACTCTTCAGGCGGCCTCAAGTTCTGTGTTCCTGACAGTCTTGCTTCTAACAGGAATGGCTAAGCTGCAGATTTTGGGGTCAGATGGCCTTGATTCAAACCCTGCCACTAACATACATAGTAACTATGTGACCTTGGGATTTCCTTCATCTTTTGTTCTCCCAAGTGAAAAATAAATAGGTTATAATATACCACATGATAGTAGGGAGAATTGAATGAGGTAATGCATGTAATGCATTTAGCATAGCACTTCTCTAGCAAATAGTGAATGAAGTCAATAAATTGGTAATCTGACTTCATGCAACAGTGCTAATCAACTATGGAACACTGGAAGTCAGATGAGATTTTTGGTCCCACAAAGTCAAGGACAAAACCTTGGGAAGTCGCCAAGATGAAAGACTTCAGGCCAGCCTTCACCTCCTGATGCTCTCTGTTCACATGTGTGATGTCTATAAAATGTAACCAGGATTTGGCTTATCTTCTTATATCTCTTCCATCTTTTCCTGATCTTCATCTTCCCAAACATAGTTTTTATGCAGAAGCAGATTTAACTCTACTTTGCTATCTTGGAGTCAAGAATTGTCCTATAAGAGGAAGAGTCTCCAAGATTTGCCTTTTTTGTTTCGTTTTTCTTTTTTCCTTCATACTACAGACTAAAAGTATCATCTTCTGGACAGAGAAACAGGCTGTTGTTTTTCTAAGGTCATCATTTGGCCTGCCCCACTTTCCCACCTGCTCTTGAGGGAACTATTGCAAGGACACATACAAGCCCCTACATCAGTCACAGACCAGGGCCTCCATCTTGCAGGGAATGTGCCCAAATTACAAACAGGTAAACCAAAGTGACTCTAGGCAGATTTAATAGTTTATTTTGGTTTCTTGTTCCAGTTATAACAGACTGCTCTATGTTTGCTCTATGGCAAAAACTTTTATGTTTGCTCTGCAACAAACGTACACACAGGGCAAATTGTGTTTGGAGTATGGTGTCTTGCCAATGTTTTCTAAAAGCAAGTGAATAGAAATGCTTGCAAAAGTATTTTCAGACCTCAGTGGCCAGCGCTGAACACTGCTGTAGGAATGTCCATCAAGTGTTGTGGCCGTGCTCTGCTCTAACAAAAACCTGGTTCCGTGGCATAATTGTAGGGGCTGTCAGGCTAAGTTTGAGACACCTTCCAAAAAAAATTCAGGGCTTCCTCAGTCTTTAAACTCCAGAAAATATTGTCCAAACTTTGACAACTAACCTGTTATCATGGAGATAGCTCCAAGTTGACGCACTGGCCACTGGAGAATGTCTATCAAGCATCCAGGTAAATAATGACTTGGTTGCTGCCCTCAAGGAACCTACCTAGAGGCTGACAGAAAATTTTAAGTATTTTTTCCTTCTATTGTTCATTCCTAAAATTCTGGCGGTAGGTATGATTATTATTCCCATCCCACAGGGGAAGTAACTAAGTCTAACTACTTGAATGTTTTGTCCCAAATCACTAACAATAAGAGATGGCCAGACACTGAACCCTGGAATCTCTAAATGTTTAGATATTGATGGGCACTGCTTAGACAAACCATAGGCTTGCTGTTCCAGTTTCTCTTATCGGATGGAGGGACCCCCATTTCACCGAGATCATTGACTTTTGGGTTCTCCGCTGACCCCAGATAAGATGCCTGGTACCTCGTGGTCAAGTCCCCTCCAACGGGGACTCCTCTGAGGCTTGGTCCCAGCTGCTCAGGCTGGCACCCGCCTCCTCAGGCCAGAGCCCAAAGCGCCGCCAGCGGTCAGTTCCCGGGCCGGCTGCCAGCCACAGGCCCAAGTAAACGCTGAATGAAGGGCAGATGGAGGAACCTGTCCCGGTCCGGCGAGAGCGCCGCGGGCGCCTTTCCGCTTACCGCGGGCCTGCCCAGCCTCCCGTCCAGCCCGGGCCCGGGTCCCGCCGAGGCAGGTGTGCGCGGCGGACTCGCTCTTGGGCACTCGGCGGGACCGAGCTCCACCCCGAACGCCACCGGGCAGGCCACGCGCAGACCCGAGCCCGGGACCCCCGCCTCTGGCTGCCGGCCCGCGCTCGGCCCCGGTCCCGCCTCCCGGAGGTTTTCGCTTTCGCTTTCCTGCCGATGTCGTTGAGGAAAATGAAAGTGGTTGTGTCCAGGACTGGCGCAGCTGCCGTTCCGGGCGAGGGGCGCAGAATGCGGCGGCGGCCAGCCTGGAGCGCGGGCCCTGGGGCGCCCGCGCAGGGCGAGGTAAGCGCAGCCCCTTCGCCTCCGCCTCGCGGGCTCCTCCTTGCGGAGCCGGCGGGCCCGACGCCAGGCGGTTGACCAGGGCAGGGTCTGGGGTTCTGCCGTGGGGGCGGGGAGGGCCTGAGACGCGGCACCCCTGGGTTTCGTGGCTTTGAGCCTCCAGGGCGGGCTGGAAGACCTGGGAGGCCTCAGACAAGCGTGCCAAGGGGCTAGCAGCCCGGGGTCGAGCTGGGACCGTGGCAAGTCGGGCCACCTGAGCACACCTTTCCTTTTTGTAGAGCACCGACCTCCCTGGGTGTTGGTAAAAATCAAAAGTGGGAGGGTGTACGTAAAATACCGAGCAGAATGCCTAACCTGAGCTCATAATCTACTCCCTCTGACCTGTCAGACTCATTTTTCCCACTGGGCCCTACCCCATCCCTCGTGTAGTTTGCGTAAGTTTCCTAGATCTGGTGCACCTGGGGGCGCTTGGGGTGCCTTCCAAGTGTTCCCTGACCGAGCAAGCTGGCAGCTCATCTCCCTTGATCACAGGCATGGAGAGCAACTAGGCCACGATGGGGCCCCATTGCCCCAGCCCTGTCCATGTGAAGTCAGGGCCTCACTCTGCTGGGGCCCCCATCCCAGGGCTAACATAGATGGTCAGGGATAGGTGCACTCACAGAAGGAGTCCTTCCCAGACCGGGAAATTTCCAGTCCACTGCATCTGCCAGCAGAAACATGAAAGATGCGTGCCACCTTGTCTTTGTCCTTCGTCAAGTATAGACAACTCATTCTTGGTATGCAGGAAGGGGTTCCCCCCGCCAGCGCTGTGGAAACAGCCCCTGCCCTTAAGGCGTTCCCCATCCCCTGACGAGAGAAAATATGTATTCAAGTTACCCATAAGGCAGGTTGTGCAGAACAAGGACAGACGAGTGAAAGAGCTAAGAGCTGAGAGTAAAGTGACTAAATCATCAGGCACTTAACTTACATTTAAGTAACGTCAGCTTTTGCAGGCCAATACCAAGAATCCCCTTTAAGTCAATTTTTGTTTCAATAATAATGAATTCAACCTAATCACACAGATCTGATCATAAGATCCATTACTGAAACAAAACTTGAATGATCTTAACTTTGATAAAACCATCTGAATTTGACAAAGATGGTCTAAGGTCCTAAGTTTTAAAACATGGAGTCCCCCGCTGCTCTACCCCAGGACAGTGTTGAGTACTGATTGCTTTTAGAAAATGTTGCTGTTGCTGGGCACGGTGGCTCACGCCTGTAATCCTAGCACTTCAGGAGGC